CAGCCCTATTTTTAATTTTATTTAGAGACAGGGTCTCACTGAGTTGCCTAGTGTCTCGCCATTGCTGAGGCTGGCTTTGAACTCGTGATCCTCCCAAGCTGATGGGATTACAGGCATGTGTCACTGCACCTGGCTATTTTTTTTTTTTTTTTTTAACTTCAGTCTGTCTAGTTGTAGAAATGATGCTTTGTGTTTGTTCTGAGACAACATGGCTTATTAAGAAAGTTCTTTGAGATTTCAGGAAGAAGGAAGAGTATAAATCCAGTTTCTAGAGCTAACAATGAAATTCTGACCTGCCTCTGGTAATGACAGTGAGCTTGTCAATGAGTTTGTTTATTTGTCTTCTTTCTGTGCTACTGGCAAATTTGGCAATCTGTTGATAGACTCAGATTATTTTTTTCCATCTTTTTTGATGGAATGGTGTCATGTTACTATTTTATTGCCACACAACTGACTCTAGCATTTATGTCCCCTTTTCTTATTTTAAGATCTTTAATAAGGACAGAGGCTTAAGGGAGAATAAATGGAGTCTTTTGGGATCTTTAAAAATTTTTGTTATTATTTAATTATTCCTAGTAGCTCCAGACCTGAAATAAATGACTGCTCTCTTTAGTGTCTATTACTTAGCTGAGTTCAAACTAGATAGTGGAAGGAAAAAAAAAGTTGATTTTAGGTTGAGCCACAGCTAATAATTGTGCATCCCTGAGTATTTAATCTACCTGCATTTCTGTGCATTAAATCTCCATGACTTTATCCTGCTTGCTTTTACCTTGATTTGGAGGGTTGTTACTTCAAAGCTGCCTCTATTCTCCTTTGAAGGAGTTGTAGGGTATAAGTTTCATGTAAAACTTGGGTTTGCAGCGAGGCTTGGTGGTGCACACCTGTATCCTAGTGATTTGGGAGGATGAGGCAGGAGGATCACAAGTTCTAGGCAAGCGTGGCAATTTAGCAAGACCCTAAGCAACTTAGTGAGACCCTGTTTCAAAAAAAGGGTGTGTGTGGCTGGGGGTGAAATGCAGTGGTAAAGCACCCCTGGGTTTAATCCCCAGTTCCCACCACCACCAAAAAAAAAAATTGTATTTGCAATGGGCCTTTCTTGTTTACAACCAACTCTTCAAGTTTTTTTGCACCTGAAATATTTCAGAGCTGTGAGACATCTTGGATCTGGGTTTGTTTTTGTTGTTTTTTTTCCCCCCAGAAAAGGAAACAAATTCAAGAGATAAATGGAAACTCATGAATGTTTTTGTATTGAGGATTGAATCCAGGGGTGCTCAATCACTGAGCCACATCCCCAGCCCTTTTTATATATATATATATATATATATATATATATATATATATATATATATTTATCTAGAGACAGGGTCTCACTGAGTTGCTTAGAGCCTGGTGAATTCACTGAGGCTGACTTTGAACGTGGGATCCTCCTGCCTCAGCCTCCCAAGCCACTAAGATTACAGGCGTGTGCCAGCCAGTCCTTCCCTTCCCTTCAAAATGGCAGAGGCCAGCTGCCCATATAAGAAACCCTCATCATGTATAACTAAAAAAAAAATTTTTTTTTTTTTAAAAGAAACCCTTGCCAGATGCAATGGTGTTCACCCATAATCCCAGCAGTTTGGGAGGATGCTACAGGAGGATCATGAGTTCAAAGCCAGCCTCAGCAAAAGCGAAGTGCTAAAATACAAAATGTGGCTCAGTGATTGAGTGTCCCAGAGTTCAATCCCTGGCACCAATAAACACATAAATAAATAAATTGGATACACATGATGGTCTCTCAACCAATTATCAGGGACACAAAAGATGTCAGTAAGGAAGGACTGAAGGGAGATGGGAGAAATATCAAGAGTCAGGAAATTCCCAAGTTTATCACTACTTTTTAAAATGTCGTCCCTGAATCACCTACCAGCATCAGAATTCCCTAGGCTTCTTCCTGGTTACTACTCTAGACTTAATGAATCTGTCTGGAGAGGAGACTAAAATCTCCATATTAAACAAGCTCTACTGATGAATCTTTTGCACATTAAAATCAAAGAACCACTACACTAATCCAATCAGTTATATAGGGAGGGAAAATTCACAGAAATCAAATTTTAATTCTCAGATTCTTCACTCAGACCAACATCATCCAAAAGAACTTTATATAGTAATGAAATATTCTCCTTCGTGCTGTCCATTACTGTAGTAACTAGTCACAAAATTACCAAGCATTTGAAATGTGGCTAGTGAGACTGAGGGACTGCAGTTTTAATTTTAGTTAATTTAAATTTAAATAGTTACACACAGCTAGGCCTGGTGGCTCACACTTGTAATCCCAGTAACTCAAAGGCTGAGGCAAGAGGATCACAAATTTGAGGCCTGCCTCAGCAATTTAGCAAGGCCGTAAGCAACCTAGTCAGACCCTGTCTCAAAATAAACAATGTAAAGGGCTGGGAATGTAGCTCAGCAGTAAAGCACCCCTGAGTTCAATCGCCCATACCAAAAATACATTACTTTTTAAAAAATTAGTCACACACCTACAGTGGCTGCAGTATTAAAACAGCAGACTTAAACACACCAGGATATATTGTTTAGCTCACTCCGCTTTTCTTTTTGTTTTCTTTCCTTTGAAAAATTCAGTACCTGCTGAATCATACCTGAATAGCATCCCTTTATAACTCAAAACGTAATGCCTAGCCAATCCCTATTTTTGCCTCAATGTGTCCTCAGATATTTAATTGCCACCAAAATGTTCTCCTGTGAAATACAAGACAGCTTCACATCCTACAAAGAGAGAGTATTTCTGTAAACAGGAATATAGCAGCACAACCCAGAACACCGATGCCTTACAAAATCAACACCTGTGCTAGGAAAAAAAAAAAAAGCGGGAACAACCAAAAGCCAAAATAGAAAAACACTAAAACACCATTTCACACCCTCTCCGTGGAGCCCTGTCAAATGGAAAGGGCACTGTGGAAATTCTTCCTTCCAATTTCATTTCCTGATCTATAAATCTGCTGATCACGCACATCCTTTCCTGCACAGCCCTTTTCCCATTACAAATCTGTCGTGGTGACTCAGTAACCTGCCATATGGCAGAGTAAATCCATTCAGGAAAACACAAGGCTACTTTGTACCTCACCACATGGACCTAAGCTAGGCAGACTAGCTTCTCTAGAGGAAAACCATATCTGATCATGAAATGGAAATTTCCCAAAAGTGACACAAAAGAAAAAAGCTAGCTTAATCAACATGTAAGATAAGAGAATGAAAAGAACACAACCTCAGGTAGGATCTGTTCAAGGAGAAATGTGTTTAAATTACCTCCCACACACTCTGCTTTATTTCATAACAAGCCCTAATACCCACTAACAGAAAGAGGAATTCTGTTGTATAT